AGATAAAACCTAAGATATTGTGAGATGATAAGCTTCTGTTTGAGCTTTTTTTTTTTTAGGTTGTGCATATCAGTACTTTATTCTTTTTTATTGCTGGGAAATATTTTTATATGGATATAATACAATTTATCTATTCTCTTGTTCATGAACCTTTGCATTGTTTCCAGGTTTGGCTCAATGAATGTTTTCATTTCTCAACAGTTAATACCTAATTACTAGTTCATAGGGTAGACGTATGTTTAACTTCATAAGGAACTACCAAATATTTTTCCAAAGTGGCTGTTCCACTTTATACTCTCCCCAGCAATGTGTGTGAGGTCCATCGTTCCATGTCCTCACCCACATTTGGTATTGTTAGTCTTTTAAATTTTAACCATTTTTCTACATGTGACAAAACACATTGCAATTTTAATTTGCCTTTTCCTGATGACGTATGACTATCTTTTTTTGGTTAATTGATCCTTTACGTATTCTCTTTTGTGGGACATCAGTTCAAACCTTTTGCTTATTTTTTGTTTTTTTCTTTCTTTTTTTTTAAATTTTATTTTAGGTTTTGGGGTACATGTGAAGAACTTCTTATCCTATTTTCCAGTCTGTGTCTTTTGATTGGGGCATTTAGCCCATTTACATTTAAGGTTAATATTGTAATGTGTGAATTTGATCCTGCCATTTTGATGCTAACTGGTTGTTCTGCCCATTAGTTGATGAAGTTTGTTCAGTGTTAATAGTCTTTACAGTTTGGTATGTTTTGCAGTGGCTCGTACTGGTTGTTCCTTTCCATGTTTAGTGCTTCCTTCAGGACCTCTTGAAAGGCAGTCCTGGTAGTGACAAAATCTCTCAACAGCTGCTTGTCTGTAAAGGATTTTATTTCTCCTTTGCTATGAAGCTTAGTTTGGCTGGAAATTCTGGGTTGAAAATTCTTTTCTTTTAGGATTTTGAAACTTGACCCCCACTCTCTTATGGCTTGCAGGGTTTCTGCTGAGAGATCCGCTGTGAGTCTGATGGGCTTCCCTTTGTGGTTAACCCTCTTAGCATTTTTTCCTTCATTTCAACACTGGTGAATCTGACAATTATGTGCCTTGGGGTTGGTCTTCTCGAGGAATACCTTTGTGGTGTTCTCTGTATTTCCTGTATTTGAATGTTGGCCTGCCTTGCTAAGTTGAGGGAATTCTCCGGATAACATCCTGAAGAGTGTTTTCCAACTTCGTTTTATTCTCCCTGTCACATTCAGGTACACCAATCAAACACAGATTTGGTCTTTTCATATAATCCCATATTTCTTGGAGGCTTTGTTCATTTCTTTTAATTTTTTTACTCTAATCTTGCCTTCTCACCTTATTTCATTGAGGTGATCTTCAATCTCTGATATCCTTTCTTCTGCTTGATCGATTCAGCTATTGAAACTTGTGTATGCTTCTTGAAGTTCTCATGCTGTGTTTTTTAGCTCCATCAAGTCGTTTATGTTCTTCTCTACACTGGTGATTCTGGTTAGCATTTCATCTAACCTTTTTTCGAGGTTCTCAGTTTCCTTACATTGGGTTAGAACATGCTCCATTAGCTCAGAGAAGTTTTTTACTACCCACCTTCTGAGGCTTGCTTCTGTCAATTCATCAAATTCATTCTCTATCCAGTTTTGTTCTCTTGGTGATGAGGAGTTGTGATCCCTTGGAGGAGAAGAGGCATTCTGTTTTTTGGCAATTTCAGACTTTTTTTAGCTGGTTTCTTCCCAACTTTGTGGATTTATCTACCTTTGGTCTTTAAAGTTGGTGACTTTTGGATGGGGCCTCTGAGTGGACTTCCTTTCTGTTGATGTTGAAGCCATTTCTTTCTGTTTGTTAGTTTTCCTTCTAATAGTCAGGCCCCTTTGCTGCAGGTCTGCTGCAGTTTGCTGGAGGTCCACTCCAGACTCTGTTTGCCTGGGAATCACCCATAGGGGCTGCAGAACAGCAAAGACTGCTGCCTGTTCCTTCCTTTCGTAGCTTCGTCCCAAAGGGTACCTGCCAGGTGTCAGCCAGAGCTCTCCTGTATGATGTGTCTCCCAGTTAGGATACATAGGGGGGCAGGGAGCCACTTGAGGAGGCAAGTCCCTTAACAGAGCTCAAGCACTGTGCTGGGAGATCCACTGCTTCCTTCAGGGCTGCCAGGCAGGGATGTTTAAGTATGCTGAAGTGGAACCCACAACAGCCCCATTTCCCAGGTGTTCTGTCCCAGGAAGGTGGAGGCTTTGTAAGTCCCTGACAGGCTGCTGTCTTTTTTTTCAGAGATGCCCTGCCCAGCAAGAAGGGAATCTACTTCACAGTCTGCCTACAGAGGCCTTGATGAGCTGCCGTGCTGGGCTCCGCCTAGTTGCTGTGTAAACTTCCTGATGGCAGTGGCTTTGTTTACACAGGCAATGTTGAAACCATCTACTGAGCCTCAGCAATGGTGGACGCCCCTCCTCCACCAAGCTAGAATATCCCAGGTTGAGCTCAGACTGCTGCTATACTGGCTATGAGAATCTCAAGCCAGCAGATCTTAGCTTGCAGGTCTTCGTGGGGGTGGAACCTGCTGAGCCAGCTCACTTGGCTCCCTGGCTTCAGCCCCCTTTCTCAGGGGATTGAGCGGTTCTCACTGTTGTTCCAGGTGCCACTCGACTAAAACAGCTGCCTTAGTTTTGGGCTAGAAACGTGGGGCGCTGGCATTGTAGGTGCGGGAGGGAATCTCCTGGTCTACGGGCTGTGTAGACTGTGGGAAAAGCGCAGTATCTCGGCTGGAGTGCCGGAGTGTCCGGAAAAGTATCTAATGGCTTCACTTGGCTGGGAGAGAGAGTTCTCTGGCCCCTTGCGCCTCCCGGGTGAGGTGATGCCCCACCCTGCCTCAGCTTGCCCACCTTGGGCTGTTCCTACTGTCAAACCAATCCTAATGAGATGAACCTGGTACGTCAGTTGGAAATGTGAAGATCACTTGTCTTCTGGTGCGCTCTTGCTGGGAACTGCAGACCTGAGCTGTTCCTATTCAGAAATTTTGGCAGAAGTCCACATGCACTTTTTGTGAAGGCTACATTCTTTGTCACATATTTTCTTTAAAGTCCCTGCTCCTTTTGCTTGTGTTCAGTTATTGTTTTGACAGAGATTGCTTTATGCAATAGAACATAGAGAGAGGAGGAGAGAGAGAGAATTCCATCTTTTCAGATGGACTCTGTGCTAAGAAACTCCTTCAGTGCTTAGCCAGGCCATTTATAACTGCCTTAGCTTTTACTTCCTGCTTGTACTGCATTTAGAGGTCAGCGAGATGTGAAAGCTGAGGGCCTTCTCAGGTCTTTTCTAAGAATGTGTCTGGGCCCCAGTCATGCATCTGGCTTTCCAAATTTCCTAGCATATATGAGTATTATTTTAATGCCCTGATTTTTCAAACGAACTCTCTGTAGCTTTTCCTATTTTTACAACTTTTCTATGAGTTAGAATTTATTTCAAAATAAAATTTAAAATAAAAAAGCATAGATTTTGAGGCCAAAAAGTTCTGGGTTCAAACCCAAGCTCTACAACTTGCTTACTGTGTGATCGTATACAAGTTACTTTCATTAAGCCTCAGTGTTCTTACCTGCAGGATGAAGATTATAATACCTACTTTACATAATTGTGTTTTAGGAGTAATGTGTAATTGGCACATAGTGGTTACTTAACAAATGATAACTAATGTTGTTATTCATGATACTGAGCTTGTGTTTAGTGAAAAGCCATCCTAGTACTAGATTTGTCACAGACCCAAAGATTGTTAATAACTTAAAAATACAATAAATCTGAATTCAAATTCTCTTATCATGCTAAGTAATAAAAAAAGCACTGTGATTGACTTGGACCTCAGAATCTTTATAAACTGAAGGCAAACTAGGAATATAGGTTTAGAGATGCAATTCGAATGTTTTCCTGAGAAATCTCTTTTGTTATAAGAAAGTTCCCCTCAATATCATGGAAACTAATTTATATTGGGAAATCTAAAGCAAAATAATTGATAATACTGGAGGACACTGTCATTGAAAAGATCTAGCATACCTTAAGATTAAGTGCATTTCTTCCATATACTTGACAGTTTACTATGGCCAGGTTGGTCATGGCTGTTATTGTTTCATACCGTGTTGCTGCAACAGTCTTAAAACCTTCACCACGTACAACATGTACCTCTGATTCTATTTTTTTAGTACTGGTGGGACCTAAATGAACAAAACAAAATATAAAATTTAAATGTGTTATCACTTAGAATGATAGTTAAGAGGTATTTATCTTATGATAATATTGAGTTACCCTAAAAGCTTAGGTGCACACATCCTCTGGCGGTGATTCCCAATAGCCTTCATCTACCCAAACTCAGTTAGTTGTTTGCCAAATAGGGTGTTGTTTTATTTTGTAATTTTAGATGTACCATTATCTTCCCCAAAGAAAATCATATGTTCATAGATTTCTACCTAGATAATTTAGATTGCATCAATATCTGTCTTTTTATACTATGTGTAAAAATATTTTCTTAAAATTTACTATGAATTACATAAAGAACTTCTTGGCTCACAAAATTAATAAGCGACATCATGTAAGAATATCTCAACAAGACATCAACCTCACTTTTTCCTTAATATCACTTTGATGTATAATTCAAATGCCCTCTGTAATTAAACTCTTCCTTTAGTTTGTAGCTCCCCCATAGGAAATAAATAAACAAATATCTCAGGAGTAAGCCAAACAAAGACCATCTAAATTTAAATTTACTTTATTATGACCCTATGGGTTTCACCTTCCATCAAAAATGTCCACTGGAAGTATACACCAAAGTGTGGCAGGAAAGTATTTCAAAATTTTATGTAATATATTTTATTCCCTGCCATTATTGCTGCATTGCTTGCAGAAACATATTTTGTAATGTCAGTAATTCTTATGCTACTGCTTCAATAAGGGGAAATAATGCATCCTAGAACAAACAAAACAAAAAAATTTTTAATTTCTAAAATAGAATCTCTGTGCCCATTTCAGATCAAGAGATGTGAAAGCTGACCACAGAATAAAGAAAGATATATAACGTAATATAGAGATTCCTTGGCTTGGGAGAAAGCATGGAGCAAGAAGGAAAAGAAAGTGGGTTAAGACATAAGTCTGTGGCCTGTTCGCTGGTCTCAGCCCAAGCAGTTGGTTGTTGAGTAGAAATGAGGAAGATGGAAGTGAAGAGGAGGCGATCTCTCAAGAATCTGAGAATCCTTGAATTTTCTAAGTAGGAAACCAACAGAGAAGAAACTCAATAAAGCAAAAATGGCAGCATGACATGGAAGAGACCCAGAAGTTAATTTACATCACAGACAAGGATACAAAAGTTCTGGGAGGAATGGAGGGTTGTTGTTGGAGTGTTCTGCTATGTACAACCTCTTATGAAATGCAGCTATTTGAATTATTAATTTGTTATATTATTTTTATCGTTCTAGAATTTTATTTTACTCATTTTTAAAAACAAAAATACCAGTTCTGTGGTGAAATTCTCCAATGATCTGTTTATTTTCTTGGACATAGTAATCATAGTCCTTTTTAAATCCATTTGAAACTCTAATATCTGAATCAAATATAGGGCTATTTCTATTGCCTTTCTTTCTACTGTTTTTCAGATATTCTGTTTTTTTTAGAATGCTTTGTAATTTTTTAATTTAATGCTGGACTTTGAGTATGAACTATTTTAACAAGTCTGGATAATGCACTCTCTCTTGCTCTCTCTCTCTCTCTCTGGCTCTCTCGCTCTCTCAACATGTGTTAGGTTTTCCTTGATTAGGCAGAGAACACCATTATCAAAGATTGATTTGAGCTTTGTTAGGGCTTGGCTATTTTGGTTTTGTCCTCTTTCCTAGAACATCCTCTTTATTCCTAAGGCATGGAATTTCAATTCCAATGTGTTTACAAAAGCCCCAACGCTTTGTCAGAGCTTGAACTCTACTATCCACCCCTTGTGCAACCACAAAACTCTATGATCAATTTCTTATCTTCTCAGCTGATGTTTTCTGCTGTGTTTCTTGGAGTCTTGTTCTACACAAGCACAGCTTAGAAATCAGCTAGCACCCTTGAGGGAGTCTGTGTGCAGATTTCTTTTCAGGAGATTGTGATAGAGTTTGGATGTTGTCTTCTGTAAATCTCATGTTGAAATGTAATCCCCAATGTTGGATGTGGGTCCTGGAGGGAGGTGTTTGGGTCATGCAGGCAGATCTCTTATGGCTTGGTGCTGTCCTTGTGATAGTGAGTGTAATTCTCATTAGATCTTGTTTAAAAGTACGTGGCAGGCCGGATTTAGTGGCTCACACCTGTAATCCCAGCACTTTTGGGAGGCCAAGAAGGGTGGATCACTTGATGTCAGGAGTTCGAGACCAAACTGGTCAACATGGTGAAACCCTGTCTCTATGAAAAATACAAAAATTAGCTGGGCGTGGTGGTGCATGCCTGCAATCCAAGTTACTCAGTAGGCTGAGGCAGGAGAATCATTTGAACCTGGGAGGCGGAGATTGCAGTGAGCTGAGATTGTGCTACTGCACTCCGGCCTGGGCAACAGAGCAAGACTCCATCTCAAAAAAAAAAAAAAAAAAAATGTGTGGCACCTCTCCTTCAATCTCTTGCTTCTGCTTTTGCAACATGATATACCTGCTCTTGTTTCGTTTCATCTTCTGCCATGAATAAAAGCTCACTGAGGCCTCCCCAAAAGCCAAGTGCATGCAACGACTACGCTTGTATAGCCTTCAGAACTGTAAACAAATTAAACCTCTTTTCTCTATAAATTACTCAGTCTTGATTTTGTTTTTTGTTTGTTTGTTTGTTTTGTAGCAATGCAAGAACAAACCAACACACAAAATTAATACTGAAAAGGGGGCATTGCTATAAAGATACATGAAAATGTGGAAGCCACTTTGGAACTAGGTAATAGGCGGAGGCTGGAAGAGTTTCTAGGACTCAGAAGACAGGAGGATGAGGGAAAGTTTGGAACTTCTCAGAGACTGGGTAAACAGCATGACCAAAATGCTGATACTTATATTGACAGTAAAGTCCAGGCTGCCAAGGTCTCATATTGAAATGAGGAATTTATTTGAAACTGAAGCAAAAGTCATCCATGTTATGCCTTAGCAAACAGCTTGGCTAAATTCTATTCATGCCCTAATGATCTGCGGAAGTCTGAATGTCAAAGTGATGACTTAGGGTATCTGATAGAAGAAATTTCTAGGCAGCAAAGCATTCAAGATTTAGCCTGGCTGCTTCTAACAGCCTATGCTCATATGTGGGAGCAAAGTAATGGCAAAGTTGAAATTTATATTCAAAAGGGAAGCAGATTGTAAAAGTCTGGAAAATTTGCAGTCTGGCCATGTAGCAGGGAAAGAAAAAGCTTTGGGAGAGAAATTCAAGCAGGCTATAGAGTAACCACTTGCTAGAGAGATCAGCATAACTAAAAAAGGATCCAAGTACGAATAGTCAAGAAAATGGGAAGAAGGCCTCAAAGACATTTCAGAGACCTTTGTGGCAGCCCCTCCCATCACAGGCCCAGAGGACCAAGAGGAGTGAATAGTTTTAGGGGCCATGGCCAGGACACTACTGCCGTGTGCCACCTGAGGGTGCTGCTCCTTGCATCCTGACCATTCTGACTCCAGCCTCAGCTCAAAGCGCTCTAGACACTGCTTAGGCTGCTGCTTTGGAGTCTGCAAGATGTAAGCCTTGGTGACTTCCACATGGTGTTAAGCCTCAAAACCTGCAGAATGCAAGAGTGAAGGAGGTTTGACAGCCTGCACCTACATTTCAGAGGATGTATGAGAAAGCCTGGGAGCTCAGGTAGAAACCTGTCACAGTGGTAGAACATTCACCAAGAACCTCTATCAGGGCAGTACAGAGAAGAAATGTGGGGTTGGACCCCCCACACAAATGGAGCTGTGGGAAGTGGGCTGCCACCCTTCAGACCTCAGGATGGTAGCTCCCCGTGCAGCTTAAATCCTGAGGCTGGAAAAGCCACAGGTACTCAATTCCAACCCATGAGAGCAGCCACAGGAGCTGTATCCTGCAAAGCCACATGGGTGGAGCTGGAAAAGGCCTTGGGAACCCACCCCTTACACCAGTGTGCCCTGGATGTGGGCCATCCAGTCAAAGTTTATTTTAGAGCTTTTAGATATAATATCTACTCATCTGGGTTTCAGACCTGCACAGGGTCTGTAGCCCCTTTCTTTTGGCCAATTTCTCCCTTTTGGAATGGGAATGTTTACTCGGTGCTGGTACCCGCCCCCATTGTATCTTGGCAGTAAATAATTTGTTTTAATTTTACAGGTGTCTAGGTGGAAGGGTATAATGGTTAATGTTAACTGTCAACTTGATTGAAGGATACAAAGTATTGTTTCTGGGTGTATCTGGGTGTTTCTGAGTGTTGCCGGAAGAGGTTAACATTTGCGTCAGTGGAGCAGGAGAGGAAGACTGACCCTCACGAAGACCTACCCACGGTGTGGGTAGGCACCATCCAATCAGCTGCCAGCACAGGCAGCTGAAAAAGCAGGCAGGAGGTAGAAGAAGCTGACTTGCTGAGTCTTCTGGCCTTCATCTTTCTCCTGTGCTCAATGCTTCCTGCCCTAGAACATCAGACTCCAAATTCTTTGGCATTTAGGCTCTTGGACTTAACACCAGTGGTTTGCCAGGGGCTCTTGGGCCTTTAGCCATACACTGAAGGCTGCACTGTCGGCTTCCCTCCTTTTGAGGTTTTGGGATTCAGACTGAGTCACTACTGGTTTCCTTATTTCTCAACTAGCAGACGGTCTATCATTGGACTTTACCTTGTGATCATATGAGTCAAATCCCCCTAAAAAACTCCAATACAAAGAGACACGACTTGTCTCACATGAGACTTTGTACTTTTCAATGATGCTGAAATGAGGTAAGACTTTTGGGGAACTACTGGCAGGGGATGATTGTATTTTGCAACATGAAAAGAACATGACATTTGAGGGGCCAGAGGTGGAGTAATATAGTTTGGATGTTGTCCCCTCTAAATCTCATGTTGAAATGTAACTCCCAATGTTGGACATGGGCCTGGTGGGAGGTGTCTAGGTCATGGGAATGGATCCCTATGGCTTCGTGCTGCCCTCATGATAGCAAGTTCTTGTACGACCTGGCTGTTTTAAAGTGTGTGGCGCCCCCTACCCCATACCCCTCTCTTGTTCCCGCTATCATCATGTGATGTGCAAGCTCTGACTCTGCTACCTACCATGAGTAAAAGCTCCCTGAGGCCCTCACCAGAAGCAGATACCAGCACCACACTTCTTACATGGTCAGCAAAACTATAAGCCAATTAAATCTCTTTTCTCTATAAATTATCCAGTCTCAGGTATTTCTTTATAGCAACGCCAGAATGGCTTAACACAGAGTCTCACTATGTTACCCAGGTGGGCCTTAAACTCCTGGGCTAAAATGATACTCCACCTCAGGCTCTCAATAGCTGGGACTACAGCTGCACACCACTGTGCCCAGCTTGTATGCAGATTTTTTTGCTTCACCTTCTTTCAATTCTTTCCTCGCCAAGACTCTCTCCCTCAAGTCCCAAGTCTATTGACTGCTCTGAAGTCTGACTGCTATCTCCTCAATCCACCAAAACCACCACTTGTGATCCATACTCCCACACCACAAATACCCTCCGGCAAAAGCCCAGGTAAAGGTAGAGCCTCCCTTCTTTCAGGAATTGTAGGCACTCAAGCCATGCCCACATTGGTTACTGTCCAGTTCCTTCAATAGCTACTTTATATATTTTTGGCAGCTTTAGTAGCCAATTTTGGTAAGGTTAGTCCACTACAAACTACTCAATCATGGAAAAAAACCCAGAAGTCACCAGGTTATTTAAAAATGTGTCCAATAATCCTAACACCAAATTATCCTGTAGATATATTTCTAGTGCTTATTGTTTCTGCTAGTTTTCATTCATTTTGTCTTTCTCTTTGTGTGCCTGGTAATTGTAAATTATTTACCACACACGGTATTTGAGAGATTGTTTGTAGACATTATGTAACATCTAGGATGGTGTAATCTTTCTTCAAAGATGTATTCCATTTTCATTATTTGTTTCTTCCAAGTAAGTAAGGTCAAAGCACTTAAAACAGTGCCTGGCACATGGCAAATAGTTAATTCATATTTTTGTATGTCTGTTTGCCCCACCCAGAATAAGAGTACATCAACTTTTATATTCTTAATATTGAAATGTTTGGTTCATAGTCAATACATTAAAAATAGCTCCATAAATGACTTAGGGAGCTGAAAATGAGGTAAGCCATATGTGTGTTATGCATGTGTGAAGTGCACACATAAACATACAAAATCACTAATACTTTTATGAAGATATAATCTTGTATAGAGTTTCTAAAAGAATTGTATAAATCTAGCAGTTACCTTCAGGTGGTCTTGGTGAGATTTGCTTTGGGGTACTTTCTACATTTTCATTTTCTGTCGCAAGAGTTTCTAGAAAAAAGGAAAAAAAAATGGAAGACTTTGGATACTTGTAAATTCATTTGAGGGTTTATGACTTCAATATAATTGTTCATCATTTAATGGATTGCAGTTATCCATGAAAATGTATTCATGAAAGCATCTATCAGTATTGGCATTGTACTCTGGAGTTCATCTAGATCACCTTTTGAATGATTGTGTATTCTCACTGTTTCTTTATATTAGCTTTTCTGATCCTTTGAATTCCCTTATTGGTTCCCATCATCACCATCTGAATGGATTGCCCAGTTTGGTCTTGGCAGATCTGCAAGGTCAGGACTTTGGTTATTGCCCTATGGCTCAAGTATTACATGTATAGATACAAGGTGATTCCATCTTCCCACCCTGAAAACCCAAAGAGGGAGGGGTAGCTTGAATGCCTTCTCTCCCCTTTGCTCTACTTGACTCTAATTATACCATGTTCAGATTGTATTTACCTATCACAGACTGTCTTTGAGGTTTTCTTGGCAAAGTTGGTGTTGGCAAGGAAATAAAACCTGGAAATTCAGTAACTCTTAGTGCCAATGTAGTAGTTGGTTTAAACTGTTCAGACTGTCCTTCTGGCTTTGTAGATACAGTCCGAGGTGGAGGGCTTGGCACTGTTGCTCTTAAATCTCTCGGAGTATGCCGATAAGTATAGCCTGGACTCTTTGGTAAAGGTTGATACTTAGGGTGCACTTTCTCAAATTTGTGAGTGATAACTGGGCCAGGAATACTTTTAGGTTTGGAGAACTCTGAAGAAAGAACTAAAATGTTTTCTAGCCTTTTTTCAGTATAAACATCTTTCATAGTTTTCAACTTTCTTGAACTTTCCATTTTGTTTGTTTTTTTCCCAAAAACTCGAGTAGAAGCTGAAGGACAACTTGGAAAAAATACGGAACCAGTAGCAGTATC